TGAGGAAAAAAATTCCAGTTAAAGTCCATCATAATCTTCTGGTCAGTAAAACAGAAAACAGACTCGATCCGTCAACAGAGGGACCATGATAAAGGGAGTCTGTTACACGGGTTGGAAGGCTGACAAACCAAAAGGGAATTAGGAGGCAGCATGTAGATAATCAGCTTCTTTACAGAGCCTGACCAGCCTTGGGACTCAGGAAAAACTTGGAATAAATTGGGGTTTTCAGAATCTAGAACCTAGAAATTGTCCATTAGTGGCAAATCTGGGAGCTTCAAGGAGGACACAGCTGGCTGGTGCAGATACCTCTGAGGGGTGGTAGGAGGCTTGGTCTCCAAGTGCTAAAGGAAGCTGCAGGCTACTTGAATCCAAGTGCCCTTTCTTGGATGATGCTGACAAGAACAGGAAGCGAACGAAAAAGCAAGTCCTTTATGTCCCCTCTGTCTTTCCGTCTTCCTCTACTCCCCTCTGTTAGGAAATCTGAAGAGGGATCAGCTGGCAAAGGAAATGATTAGTTTGCAGAGTCCCAGCCATAGTAATTCAGAGCACAATCGATTAGAAAGTGAGATACAATATCTTACCAACTCACACAGTCCTTAAAAAAATGATGCTTATTTACAAGTGACCAAAGGAGAAGCATGTAGTCAGAACATAGCTGTAGATTTTATGAAAGTCTCCAAATAGTTGGGAGGAAAAGCTCTGCTAGAGCAAAGGAGTAGAGAGAGAAAGTGTTCTCCCCCAAGTTCATTAACATTTTATAAAACATTTTAATATTATATGACTATTTTCCTATCAACAATTTAATATTATCAATTAATAAGAATTAATTCATCTTTTTAACACATAAAGACTATCCTTTCAGAAAATTGGGTAAGTATATTATATGAAATGTGTTCATAGGATGCATCTTAACAATAGTGATCTACTTGGAAAAGCTGCTTTTTAGAGTGATATTTAAAAACGACACTTTTATTCATAAAGTTAGCAAATGAGAAAAGCTAAAACTCTGGAAGGATCGATAGTTCCTAAGTACACTAAATTGATATTTACTTCAAGTAATTCTATTTAAATGTTATTCTAAGCATTTGTGCTTTAAACTTAATATTTTGTGCGTGTTTATTTTGAAAATACAACCTGAGAATTAATTTTTTTTTAAAAAATGAGAAAGATAATGTTCCCATAACAATGATTGTTAAATGGTACTTATTCAGGCTTACTTTAGAATCTGGCTTAGTTCTGTAGTTTCTAGAAGGAAGGACTAATACATATAAGCCAGGTGTCAGGTCAGGACAGTGCTTCTGTGACAAATAAAGGAATTTATTTACTTGTTTAAATAAAATTCTTCTGCTCATTTCCTCATTTAACAGACCCGTATTGACTCTGCATTTAGTTATTTTGAAGGATACGGAAATTGGTCATTCGGATACCCAAACTGTCTTCAAACACTTAGGTTCTAGAGATTAGCAATTCTCACTGACACATTATTAATAGCATATCTGTGTTGGTGCCTCTTCCAGTATCGCTCTCATTGATGCCAAATGGTGGCCCATTAAGATCTAATAGTTAGTGTCTGACCCCTATTCTTCCACACCTAACACCTACATTCCTTCCATTTGGTCCTGTGGTAATAATCCCTCATACACTGATGTCAGCTGACTCGTGCCTATGAAAGGTGAGGTCTTTTCCTGGGTTGTCTAGACCCATGGGGATCACAGAGATGGCGTGCTCCACTTTTGTCAGCAATGCCTGGTTCACAGATATAAAAGCATGGCATATAGGAGACACTATTCCCTCTCCGAAGCAAAAACTGGTAAAATACAAATGTAAAAATTAGAGCCCCCAGGTTGGCATCACTGATTTCTTGCTGTTTGTTTATGGACACAGTCTCTCACTGTCACACAACTTTCTTCATCAGGTATAGGCTCTCTATTCTACAGATAAAGAAAGTGAAGCTCACAGGAGCCAAACAACTATTTTAAGAGCACATAAGCAGTATCAAGTGAAATTAAATTTGAATTTGTCTTGTTGAACAGCTCTTTTTTACTGCATTGCACCACATTTTTACGTCATACTTACAGTTCTGAGATTACGGTTATCTGGATAACTATAGACATACTTGCTTATCCAATATTATGACATCATGTGAATTTGTACCAAACAATTGTCTGGGATTGAAAAACAGGACTTTCTTTCCAGTGTTGGTATTTCTGTGTACACCTGATGGCTAGGGCTTTTGGGGTCACCCAGGAGCATTGGAGTTCAACGTTGTTCAATAAGATGATGAAATAAAATAAGCATTGGTGAAAATGTCATTCATTTGAAACAAGAATTAGTAGGTTCTGGAAGTCATACATTTCACTGTGGACAAGAGAAGGCTGGAAGTTATTCTTCATTACTGCTCTTTGTAGACGATGTGTTTGCTCCCTATCAATTATAAAATGAAGTTTACACAGGACTTAGGAAAAATTGTTTATTTATAATGTATTATAGGGTATAAAAAATATCTTCCAATGCATTGTCATTTGATCCTCAAATGCCATAGGGTGGAGAGAAGTTGCTATAATACATATTTTTACAGATGAGAAACACAAAACCATGGGGTTACTATGAGCAAGTATCAGCTTCTTTCAGTGAAACACACTATGTTGCGTAGTCAAGGGTTGTACTGCACGTCAGTGAGGCTGCTGGCTGACTCTGGGGTTAATCGGCTCGGGTTCAGAGCAAGATTTGTCACACCCTATTGTGCAGTCTTAGAAAAGCTAATAAAACTCTCTTCCGTTTCCTCATGTGTACAATGGAATAACAACAACAACAGCCATAACAACTAGTATTATTATTATTAGCCACAGAATTGCTAAGATGACTAAGGAATTATTTACATGTAAAACACTCAGAATGGTGTTGAGTGTGTAGCACTCAACATGTTCACTAGTTAGCCAACCATAATCTTGAAATAATAAAACATGATAGAAAATAAATAGAAAAGCAAGACAGATATTTCTGGATATCTAACAACCCATCAGTTATTCTTTCTTAATGTCTTTTTTCTGTATTGTATTGATTTCTTTTATTTATTCCAGTCTCATTCAATTTAGCAAACACACTGCTGTCAGAGGATTCTACTAAAGTATAATTTTTGAGCCATACTCTGCTAAGAGACATGAAAATACGCTCCTTTGAATAAAGTGTGAACTCTTTTGGATGGCATTACATGCACTCAGAAATCATGATGTAACTGCCAACCTATTCTTCCAACTACATTTACTATCACTCCTTTTGTCTACTCCTGTGCTCCAGCCAACTCAAATACATGGTCTTCCGAGACTGCCCCTGCTCCAGGTTCTCAGGGTGCAATGCTTCCCTGAGACACTATTTGACAATGGTCTCCAAACTTCCAGACCTGCTTAGAAGGGTAAGTGTTCATTAAGCCTCTCTTGAGCTACTTGAGAATATATTTTTATCCACATATTTCTGCTTCTAACTTCTTTATTATAAAACATCATCTGTATTATACTCTATTGAATGTTGAATATATTTTATCTTCCATACAAGTTTGTGAAGGAGGTAACTAATTAGCTTTTCAAGATGGAAAGCTTAGCAAATAATTTTGGACTTTATATTCCTTATTTAGGGCCTTCTAAGCGCCCTTCCTTCTGCGAGGATCCAGGATTAAGCTCCCCACTGGACTGCTGCCTTTTCTTTTTCATCCCCAAAGCACTTAGGAAGAAGCCTGTTATATATAGAGATTGAACAGGCTCAAAAAAGGCTGGCTATGCTGCTATTAAACTTAACTCATGGGAAAGTGAACAAAGAGTACAAATGTTATAAGGTGATATAATAAGAATGTTTTCTTTTAAATAATTTACACATCATGTTTTCAGGTCACATTTACATTTTGTGTTTATATCTGTGACTACTAAGAGGAGGGCAAAAAACTTCATAATTTTTCAAAGAATGAAGCACTGTAAAGTGACTTGACTCAAAGTCCAGAGAGGTGGTAGATGTTGGGGAGAAACAAGAACATGTTCGTCAACATTATCGGTACAATTATCATGGATATAAAAAGGTGGTTTAACTGTATGATCATATTGGTTCAGGAATAAAAACCTTCTGGAAATCAGCCCTAGTAAATGCCAGAAGTCTGAACCAGGTTGAGTTTACTATTCCTACTTCTGAGGAATTAAAGGCAAATTAAGGGGACATTTACTTCTTTAGTCACACACAAGGAAGTACAGAACCAGAAGCCACAATAAAAAATGATGAGATGTTATGAGCGACACCTGACATCGGTTGCCTATATTTACTATTTTATTTATTTTATTTTTTTAAAGATTGGCACCTGCGCTAACAACTGTTGCCAATTTTTTTTGTCCTTCTTTTTCGCCGCAAATCCCCTCAGTACATAGTTGTATGCTTTAGTTGCGGGTCCTTCTAGTTGTGGCATGTGGGTCGCCACCTCAGCATGGCCTGATGAGTGGTGCCATGTCCATAGCCAGGATCCAAACCAGCGAAACCCTGGGCCTCTGACGGAGCACGTGAACTTAACCACTCGGCCATGGGGCCGGCCCCAATATTTGTTATTTTTATTATACTGTTGGATTTACTTGAATGGTATAATTCAGTTAAAGAAATTTGCAGTACAATTTTAAAAGATTCATTAATAAAATTAATCAGGATAATTCTACATTAACAAAGGGCATCATACTTACTGAACAGGATTATTTATAAAAACATGTCTGGTGATTTAACATTATACTTTATTTTGCTAATTTATTCAATCTTTATGAGAGAAATGGGAAATATGAATTAAATGGATGAGATTAATAATTATTTCAAGTCCTATTTATTTTATTCTTTTGTATATTTAACAATTTCTTGGCTGACCCTCTGTAATAATAGAAGTGAGCACAGGGAGGAAAGAATTCATAGGTCGACATGATATAGAAAGTAACTCGCTTCAATGAAGTTGGACAGAACTGAAACTCACTCTTCAGATCAGATGCATTTAGGATCCAGAGGATTTTAAAGATTTTATTTAATCTGCCTCCAGAGTTGGAAACTGACAGGACTCATTTTCGTCATTGAAATATACAAACTTCATAATAAGATAAAATGCTATTATTTATTCTATCAACAAAACATCAATAAATTATTTGCCATTATTTTGATTAAGGTAACAGGAACCAGTATCATATTTTGCAATTTATTATGATATTCTGAGGTCAAGGAAAATCCATTTAAGGAATTTTTTTAAAAAGCTATCAAATTAGAGGAAAACCCAAATTCTTAAGGGACAAGTGTAGAAAAAGTTGATGCAATAGCTTAAGTGAATAATCAAGTAATGTCGAAGACCTAACTTTATTAAATATCGGGAATAACAGCTTATGGAGTCGGTTAGACTCAGTGAAATCATTTTCACAGAAAAAAATAATGTGAAACAGAAAAACCAGCATCTCTACAATGTGGATTATCCTCCTTTAAAAGCCCAAAGACATTGATCTCCAATTAGATTTATAGCCACATTTTAATTATCTAATCAAGTGGAAGTTAATTATGTCAAATCAAACATTATATATGTCTATTTTGTAATATGATGTGTAAAATGGCATGTATATAAAATCAGGTACAAAAACTCCTATTTCCAAATCGCCACACCGACCTTGAATTTGGCGGGTAAACTGCACTTGGACAGAAGTAAAAAATTTAATTCAGATTTCATAGGTGTTGCCCATAATCATGATACGTCTCCCAGACTTGGAAAGTGAATTCAAACAGAGAGAAATGAAATGAAAAGAGCTATTTTCAAATTAACTTACATAGTCCGTAATTATGCCATTGGAAAACATCTTATGGAATTAATAAAGCACTTGTGTCAGTAAGATTTGAATTCACTTTATCAAAAATATATTTATTTATTAAAATAACTTGATTTGAAAGTCTTGAAGCATCTCATTCCTTATCTACATGTATCGCCCCGTGTGAACGTAAATCAAAGACTGATAGTCAGGTGATATGATCTGACGTAACCAGTAGATAGAAGTTTTTAATATATTGATAGATTTCCACACTGGCTGTTAAAGAGCCTCCTCCAGGGGCCTCCCAGGTATAGTGGAGCCCCACGTTCCCAAGATCCAGCACCCAGAGTTACTGCCAGGGACGACAGATGCCTCCTGCTCCCTGCCCCAGCATCAGCACTGTCTTCTTTTCTGATGAGTCAATGCCCATTTTTACATATTTTTGGTATTGCCACTGAGGAGGCCTATTTCTATTTGAAATATTTTTGTTTACCCATGGAGCTGTTGTCTATTAAATACATGTAAGCAATCCGTCTTTATCATTATACTTAGTGAAGTTGGATTTGGTTTTAAAAGTCTCCATTAATGGATCTCTGGTGCAAATATCTTTTAAGCAGTGAACCAGCAGATCAGAAGCACTCTATATATTTAGGAAGAGCTGGAAGAGATGGAAGGCTGTGGACAGCTACAGGACAATAAGCGGTTCACCTAATTTATTTTCCTGTCATAAATAAAATGTCTTGACATAAATATCATACTTTTTTGAGATTATTCCTTCAAAGTGTAAGGAGTCCTATGAAGATTTCTAAATAGAGACAGTAGTATAAAACATAACTAGCACTTCAAAAAAAAATCTCTGGATGCATTAACTTTGAATTAAAGGGCATAAAAGTAGGCATGGCAATAAATAAATCAGTCAAGTCAAACAAAAAAGGCTAAATTTTAACATAAGCAATGTGTATAAAAATATACAGCAAAACAGTAAAAATACCATTTCTTTATCATGTTCAATATATTTTTTCTGTTCACCAGTTTATCAAATTCATGCAAGCGATTCCTTCTGTAGATTAATATTTTTTCAATATATATTATTCAGAATTGCTATGGTAATTCTTTAATTTTTTATCATAAAATTTTCTTTCTCATTTATTTGTTTTTGTAACGTGTATGAAATTGAATTCCTAACAGAGGTGTATGTGAGCAATTCACCTAGTGGATTCATGAAGCCTGCTGGAGTTACGAGGTTTGGATTGTGATAGACCAGACTGCTTTGCTATCTAAAGGACAGAACCTCAGAGAATTCAGCAGTTTTGGAAATGCTGGTAAGCAGATTTATGCTAATTCTGATTTTTCAAATTTATTTTCTAAGAATACACATTCAATATTTTAAAAGTGCCCACCCACTAAATCAAACTTTATAGAGTGTATATATAATTCAACAGCAATTAAACATATTATATGATTTTACTTTATTTATATTAAACACACCATAATTAGTAAGCTTTCAGGTATTGTATGTGTGCCTGAGTATGAGAACAACTCAGAATGGTATAATTTGGGTCATAAATTGGCCTGGTTTTTTAAAGCATTTAAAAAGGACTTTCCTATTCTAAAAGGAGAACATATTCCATAAAATTTTAGAAATCAAATTTTGGAGAAGTAAGCCTCCATACTAAAGGACATCCTGTAGCCTAAAATGTGGAAACAGTTGATATAAAGTGTGTATTTATGTGAGTGAGTTTTTATCACTCTAATAGAAGAAAACATTTCTCTTAACTCAAGTTAGGAAATTATTATACATTTTTATATATCTTTATATAAAAAGTTACAAGTAGCAAGCATGTGACACAAAGAAATGGAAGAGTTAACAGCAGTATTCAAGAATGCATGCTTTTTACAATGTGTCTAATAAAAAGGATATTTTTCCAACTCAAATATCCAGTACTGACATGCAATTCAATCCTATCGCTAAGTATTTAATCAAAAAACATTTCTATTCAAGGGTATGAATGGTAAAATACCTAATTTCAAAAACTACTTCTGAAACTCGGTATCTTCCTTTGATATAAAACAAAAAAGAAATCGGGGGTATATAGGAAAGGCCAAAAAAAGAGATTTTTCTTATTGCAATCTAGCAGTTTTACTCGTTACTTTTGGCTGCGTTTAATCATAACACAACAATAGATGCTTCTAGTCCATGAAACCTCTAGCTGGTGTCTCCATGGTCCATATTTTCATTTTTCACTGGAGCATGTTCAAAATCACTCAGGAACGCACTATTCTCAATCAGTCTATATAATGAAAACAATGTACATGTAACATAAAGTTCATCCCAAATTGTGTTTTTTCACATATCACACAATGTACAATTATCTAACAAAGACATAAAACAACATAGAAACAAAGTGAAATTGACAGTAAAAATAAAGTTGGGAGAGTCTTAATCAGGAACTAATTTCTTCTTCAAGTTTCCAGTAAATCTCAAAATGTATTTAAAAACTAAGGAGCACTTGGTGGCCAGCAACCAAATTACGAAATGAACATATCATTGTGCAGCGGGGATGTCTTGCCGAAGAAATAACAAATGTCTGTAATTCTTAAGTTTGGATAAAGGCAGTGGAATGAATTTAGAAATATGTCCACTTTTCACAATTCACTATAGAATTTTCTTTTCACAGTCCCCATGTTTGTATAAATAGTTCTTCTCTGAAAATAAAACACAGTTAAAACATTTTCTCCCAATGAAAAATGCATACAAATACACCAATTTATCAAGGTAATACAGAGCATGGAAATGCATTCACCTAATTCAAGAATAGTTGGTAGGCTTGAAGAGTTTTGAAGAGATTAGCTGTCAAGCAAATTTAATTGGAGACGAATTAGTCTAATATAGATATAGACTTATCAAGTGGTAAAAGTAAAGCCATTATGATACCCGATGACAAAATAGATGTACACATAGACAACTGGTATTTATGGAACATTGTACATTATCAAGCATTCAAATTTTATCTCATAAAATTTGACATAACATGCTGCATTTAATTTTGATGAAATAAGCTACATATTCATGCAAAAATAAGAGTGCGCAAATTGTAAAAGTACCACCAAATACTTAGTGTATGAGTTTTGAGTAAAATATTGCCAAGTTAAATCAATAAAATTATTACCGGTTTTATATATTGACTCCAGTTATATTGAGACAATATTCAGATTTTTTATTATGAAAACCTTGGGTTTATTCTGGTATTTCTTTGAAGAGTTCACTAATTTTTTCCTTAAAACACATAAAATTTAACTTGTTAATTGAACATCCCTCTTAATGACCTTGCAGTACAAGGCCTGATGGTAAGAATATTAACATTTATTTTAAAGATACATCTACTAAAAGGCATCTCTCCATCAGCATTAAATCCATTATATTTCTAATTATAAAATGTTATGAAACACACATCTCAAGAAATGAATAAATAGCACATTCCCTAAAAAACTACAAGACATTGCAACAAAACAAAACATAACAGAATACAACAAAGGGAGAGAAGGAACCGAGGGCATTGGCTTACCTTGAATTTTCTTTTTAGACCCTAGTTGTGTTGTATTCAGATTCATGTTTGCTTAGAGACCCAATGAGGCAGAACCTGGAATGTTATGGCTATTTCATTCAACAAAGTAATATTTGCACAAAAAATAAATATGCATACAAACATTTACTTAAAAGCATTCTTAAAAATTCATAGAACTGAGGAGATAGATTTTTTTTCCATCAGCATGCAAAAGTACTAAATCAACTAAAAATAGTTTAGGCTTGGAAGATGTAGAATGAATTGAGAAAGTATGGACATTTATAAAACAAACTAAATGCTAGGAAACATGCAAAACAAAACACAAGTAGATTGGATTGGGAGATTCAAAATAAATTTTTTCTAAAATTAAATTTTCGTTCCTCAAAAGTTTATTAATTTTAGGGCTAATAATACAATACAGATAACATTGTCTTTATATTAAAAGGAAAACGTTTCTACTAATTCTTGCTATGTTTAATAATAAATGTTTAGTATTTTAGCATACTATGTTGTCATATGCAATTTGTAATGTAAGTATTATGCGATATGTGGAAAAAAAGTTTTTCACTTTCATACCAAAAATATAATACATTATATTGCAAAATATGTTATTTTTACATTAAAATTATTCAACAAGATGGCTTAACCATCTTGGTAAGGCATTTATGTCCAAATATCATTTCATATCTTAAAATATATAAATATTGATTAGAGCAACATTCATGACCATGTGGAAGCAAATTAGCAATATAAATTTGTGATATAAATTAAAGCCATGATTTCTATATAAATGTTACATATATAGAAATAAATGAACTATCTTTGGTCTGTGTGTGCTCACACACATACACATATATACATATATGGGATTTAGGAAGAGTATGGATAGCACTGAAAAGGAAAAAGAAGAGGAAAAAGTTGAGACACTATGGTTTAAATCATTAATAAAAAGAGAAACTGAAATATGAAGACAAAATACAACACAATATTCTGGAAGCATTTCAGTCCTCAGGTTATAGTTGTCATCAAAAAATCGATTGATACTGACCGCTGGACGGCTTTATCATGTCGGGACAGCCTGTGACTTGTGGTGGGCACCTCCTCAATCTCATCGATGTCACAGGCATCTGCAGCATCTTGTGAGTAGTTGTGTTTCATGACGAGGATATTTCTTCTGTTCATGGGCGGGATGAGGGGTTTGACGGGCTGGGGGGGCATCTCTGTCAAGACAGAAGCATCTCTTGTGCTGAGGTTACTGCGGCTGCCTTTCGCACTGGACAGTTGTGATCCACAGTGATGGTCATGAACGCATTTGGAAGAGGACCTCCGCAGTTTATGGTAGTTTTCAAAGTCATCTGCCACATCTGCAAAGTCAGCTGTAGCTCCTGTCCCTCTCAGTGTGCATAACTCATAATGAGGAGGTTCAAACACCTCCTGGAAAACTGTCTGGTCAAAGTCCGATTTCCTTTGGACATATTTTTTACGAGGCTGTTTGATCTGCACAATGACAGAAATGATAATAAGGATGATCACAATGCAGGAAGTCACTCCAATGACAGTCCCACTGGTGTTGGTCAGCTGGTCCAGCAGGCTGGCTTTCCTCTTTTCTACAGGTCGAGGAGAGTGAAAACAACAAACAAAACAAGAAACAACCCACCACGTATTAATATGGCAGTCAAAGTGTATACCGAGAACTTTAAAATGAAATAGGCTGAGCACAAAATTTTTATAGGCTTAAAGTAACATAAAAATAATCTTTAAAAATATACAAAAATTTTCACTTTTCACAAAGGCTTATCTTCTAGCCTTAGAAACAGCCCTCCCATTGCCCAGCATCCCTATTTTAAATGTAAATATATGTTTGGAGAAGATCTTGTAAGACCTTTAGCATGACATTTGGGAAGGAACTGGCAATGTTAAAAACAGTAAATTCTTTCTTCTCATAGGTGTAAGAAAACCTCCAAACTCCACTATTGAGGGTGCTAATATACCTATATTGTTCTGATTTTCTTCCTGATGCAGATAAGTCAAAGTAGCAACAATATCCTGATACCAAAAGATAATCAAACTTTATGACAGACACTTCTGGAATGGTGGCCCGAGGGCTTCTGTGGGCCTTTCCCCCAACGAAACAACCATAACTAGTAAAAAGCATTTACAAAAAAAACCCCAACCATTTAAAGTTTCTGGAAATTGTCCTAATGGCATACAGCTAATAGAGGTACAAGAAAATCTACTAAATTTTTTTAAGAATAGTGAGAGTTTGTGGCTTTTGAGCTCCCCCAACTCCAGTTTATCATGATGGAATGTCTACTCAGGGAAGTTTCACACAACACAGGCCTCCTCTCCCTGCAGCTCCCAGCCTAGAGTTACAGTATCTCCCCAGGAGGACCAAGCCGCCAGCAGTTCTCAATGCCCACCAAGCCCAGATCCATACCGCAGATGCTCTATTCCAGACAAGAGTGGCTGAGATGTCAGGGGCTCCCTTCCTCCTCCCAGCCCCCACTGGTAGGGCAGAGCGTCTACACCAGGCACAGTAGGCTGAGAATGCTTGGCCGCAATCACACTTGCCCCAGCTCACTCAGAGAGCAGAACTGCCTGGAGAGGCAAGCTGAGCAAACCAGATGTTGCCACCTTCACCCAGTGCCCTATTCACAAAGCAAGGGTGTTACTCTGAGAAACTGAGTCACTTCCCTGCCCCCTCTTCACCCAAAGCAGTAATGCAGACGTCATGCCCATGAAGAGAGGCAAGTCACAAAAACAGAGAGCACTATAGCTTTCCCTAAACAAAGTTACTTTACTTGGAACAGAGTGTAGAGAAGTTCAAGCCTAAGGAAATCTCAAAACAATGGAAATTTTCTGGTAAGCAATTAGGAGGAGGTTATTAGCTCCTTAGTAGCCACAAGCCAAACCTCAGAACAGCTAGAAGGTTAACATAATAAACCAAGAAAGTAACAGCCAAGAAGAACCCTCTTGGTTTGGAACAAACCAAAAGTTTGGCCTCAAAAACTACCCCTGCAAAGAAACTGAATCTAACTGGATCAGATCATAGGACAATTTATGTTTCTGGGCATTGTCAAAACAAGAGAGCAATCATCCAGCAACTAGTGGAGAGTAATAGCTGGGTGTGATACCAACAGAGGCAGACATCTAAAGAGAGAGAACAGGGAGAGTCTTGTTAAACCATGGTCACCTGAGGGTGAGAGTAAGGTGCTCAGGGCCATGGTCTTCACGGAGCAACATCAGGGACAGAGTCACCGAAGTAGGCCAGCCAAGTCTACTTGTTTATACAAGTAAATAAGAAAACAATGATAAGGAGCCCTGGGGAGGGGGGAATCAGTATCCAGAGTTGTTACAATATATTATCCATGTCCAGTTTTCAACAAAATGTTACAAGGCATGTAAAGAAACAGGAAAATACAAGCCTTTGAGACTTTGCAGACAAAGATTTCAAAGCAGCCGTTATAAAATAAGTTCAAGGATCTAAAGGAAAGTATGATCAAAGAAGTAAAGAAAAATATGAGGATAATGCCTCATCAAGTAGAGAATATCAATAAAAATAGAAATTATAAAAAAGAAAAATGGAAAATCTAGAGTTGAACAGTACAATCACTAAAATGAAAATTTCACTGGAATGAGGATATTTCAGCTGGAGGAAGAAAGTATCAGCAAACTCGAAACAAGATAAATGAAAACTATGCAATCAGAAAAAGAGCAAAAAGCCTCAGAAAAATGAGGCAAAGTATCAGATGCACCAACATAAGGTAATGGAGTATAAGGAGAGGAGAATGAGAAAGCAACAGGAAAAATACTACAAAAATAATAATAAAGGATGAAAACGTCCCAAGTTTGATGAACAAATTCACATCCAAGAATTTCAACTAACTCCAAGTAAGCTAAAGGCAGAGATCCACACTTTAACATATAGTTGGAATGTTGGAAGACAAGGAGAAAATCTTAAAAGAAACGAGAAAAATAATCACGTAGACAGGAACCCCAATCAGATTAACAGCTGATTTATCATCGGAAATTACAGAAGCCAGAAGGCAGAGGATGACATACTCAAAATTCTGCAGGCAAAAACAAACCGAAAACTGTCAACCAAAAATCTAATATTCAGCATACCTAACTTTCAAAAATGAGAATGGAATAAAGATATTTCCAATAAACAAAAATAACATAATTTAATGCTGAAAGACTTGCCTTAAAAGAAATATCAAAACAAATTTTAGGGATTGAAAGCAAATAACTGCAGACAGTAATCCAAATCCACATGAAAAATTTAAAATGACAATAAATTAAGCAGGAAAATAAATGTTGCCAATAAAGGCAATTATGTAAATAATGACAAAGGACAGTATAGTTGCATATTCTTCTGCATTCTTCCCTTAATTTTTTAAAAAATCAATATTATATGTATAAAATCATATTGTTGTGCTTATAGGTTATAGAAATGTAATATAACAGTACAAACGAGATGGGTGGGAGGAAAACTCCCAGAGTAAGGAAATGACATTGGATGGTAATGTGAATCCACCAAAACAAATGAAAAGAATCAGAAATGGTAAATAATAAGGGTTATATAATGAACTATATTAATATATATACTTGCTCTCCTTTCTTCTCTCACCTTCTTTTAAAGACATAAGTTTACATAAAATAATAATTATAGCAATGTATTCTTGGATTTGTAACACACATGGATATAAGATGTATAAAGTAATAGGTAAAAAAAGAGATAATAGAGCTATTAGAATAATGTTTTTATATCTCACTGGAATTAAGTTAGTATAAATCTGAAATATATTTTGAGAAGTTAGGCTCTCGCCGTAAAGCAACTACTCAGGAAATAACTAAAAAGATACACTGAAAAATCACTGAAGGAATTAAAATGTTACACTAAAACATATTCACTTAATGCAGAAGAGACCAATAAAGGAAGAAAAGAGAAACAAAAAATACATGAAACATATAGGAAACAGAAAGTAAAATGACTGACGTAAACTCAACTCTCTCAATACCAGCATTAAATACAAAAGGGTTAAACACTCCAAAGAAAAGGCAAGGATTTTCAGAATGGATCAAAAAATAAGATCCAACTAATGCTACATACAGGAGACACACTTTATATTCAAAGAGACAGATAGACTGAAAGCAAAAGGATGGAAAAAGATTGACCATACAACTCACAATCATAAGAAAGCTGGAGTGGACAGGCTAACATCAAAGTATACCTTAAGACAACAAAAATTTACTAAAAATAAGGAGATAGTTTTATAACAATCAATAGAAGAGTCAATCCATCAGGAAGATGGAACATTTTAAAATATATATGGATCCTAACAAAAGCTTATGCAATTGAAGAAAGAGTCAAACAATTCAACCAGAATAGTTGGAGAATACAATAGGCACATTTAATAATGGATAAAACATGGTAGAAAATAAAAATAGAAATAGAAGAGCTGAACAATCTCATAAACCTACTTCTAGAACAATTCACCTAACAACAACAAAATGCATTTTTTTCAAGGGGACGTTTTTTAGGATCCGCCATGCTGGGCCATACCTATGCTAGGCCATAAAACTAATTCCAATAAATTCAACATGACTGAAATCATGAAAGGTATGTTCTCCCATCACAAGACAGTGAATTAGAAATCAGAATAGCGGTTGTGCCACCTGGAACAGATGAACATGGGAGTTCATGATGCACCTCCATTCATATCTTCTTGATTACTGTCTCACGTCAAATGTTCCTGATACGTGTGGGAACAAAGCCACATTAGCAAACAAAGCTGCTTGTGACTACTAAGCATTAGTAGTGCTGTATTAAGATTCTGCACAAAATATTTAATTTCCATCCACTCCAAAGGGTTTCCTTGGACACAAACTGATCATTGCCCATATCCCACCATCAAGATAGTTGATCCAGGATGTGCCTTTCTTATTGACTGTATGAACCAGGGCTACTGTGGCAATGCCTTTCATCTTCTATCCACAGAAGACATTTTAGTAGATAATATTAGACTTGCATGAAAGAGTTATTTGCCTGTTTCTTTTCCTTTGCAAATTGGCTAATATTGGATCTGAATAAAAGAGTATATTGGCATTTTCAACTTAACTAAAAGATGCAACGTTTATAAGCAAGCCAAGGATTGCTGTCTACATAAAGAAACCTTTGTGTACAGTCTACCTAAGGGACTGAGGGGCGCTGCAAGCTATTTTTATTGGAAAGGAAGAAATGCATTTTGGTAACAAAATTTAAGTCAAGTTAAGTGGCTGGAAGTACTTGAAAGCACAAATGTTCCTTCAATCTGCTTTATCTCTAGAGTATGTGCACAATGTCCAATGAAGACAAACCAGAATAAGTGAGAGGTGCAGCCACAGATTGAGGGGCACCGGGTCTGAGAGGAAACAATGCACTACACTGAAAGATGCGACTCCCTTTCCATGGCTCTGCGGGCTCGAATAAGGAGATGTCTGGGTTTTTTTTTCTTGGAAGACGGTTTACGTTTTTTTTTTTTGAGACATAAGAGCAGTTTATTTATTTATTTATTCATTTTATTGAGGTCACATTGGTTTATAGTATTGCATAAATTTCAGGTATACATCATCATATTTCGGCTTCTGTATAGACTGCATCGTGTCCACCACCAACAGTCTAGTTTCCAGCCATCGCCATATATATGTGCTCCTTTACCCCTTTTGCCCACTCTCCATCCCCTAGGAGATGTCTTTAATGAGCATTCAAGTGTTAAGGATAGTCCACTGTGTATTAACGAATGAGGAAACAGCACAAGCAAAAGCAAAGAAAAAAGCTTATAAATGGATGACAAAACATGCATGAAGTTCATAAAAGCCACTCTACAGTCTGACTCTCTGATACATATAAACATTGGAATCAACTTCTTCCCACCCTACAGGCAGAGCGATTTTTAAAATTTCAAGGACTCATCATTACCTTTACAATGATTTTCATCCCAAGGATACACACAGTTCTGGAGTCCATTGCAGACCAACGTATTGTTAATACACATGTTACTATGGCAGAAGAATGTATTGCCTTCACAGGGAGCTAAAACAAGAAGAAAAAGACAAAGAAACAGTGTTGCAACTGAGGCGCAGTAGTAAATCACTCATATTACAAATCGAAAAACAAAAAGATTACAATGATAATTTGCTGTCAAATCAAATGATCCGACACCCCATTCTCAGAAGTGCTGCTGTAGTGATAATTACTTCTTGTGTTACTAATAGAGCTGGCATTCCTCTGGCTGTGCTCAGCTTATAAAATTGGCACGGGGATGTTTTCAATCGTAAAAATGAAGTATGTCATCCATACGGGGTTTTTTTTCACTTGGTGCACTCATTCAGCAAAACTTCCGTGCCCACCACATGCATAACAGTATGCTTTACACTGAAATTCCATGTGTATAAATTTAGTTGTACTGTGCAAACATACTTAATTGAAATACTGAAATAATTTTGAAAAGTATATGCTTACAAAATACTAATGAAGAAGATATATATGAAAGGAAACTCTATAACATTATTTAAGCGTATGAAAAAAACAAAGAATGCCATAGAAATTCAGAACGGGGAAATTAATCCTGAACAACCTAAGAAAAACACATATCATTTTTGTCAACATTTAACATATTTGTGGTGATGAAATTAGCCTACTTTGTATGTATTTCACACATTATGGTAACTTTAGGTACGATGATCCATAATCTCCAGATTATGATGCACATTTAGGGCACTGGGAGGTAAAATAAGAACTCCAAGAAGGTGGACAATTTGGCTACACGAATATGAGAAATAGTGAAGAGTTCAAGATAGCAAAGTACGATGTTAGATATGACTTCAATATTAGGAAAAAGATTTCTTTCCTTATCAGAGTAAGAGGATACTTAGAATAATCAGTCTTAGGGCAATACTGCATTAGGATTAGAGTTTCTGACAGTGCTTTAAAGCTAAGCTTTGTTTTTGCCTTTGTAATCACCCCACATATCTCATAAAATGTAATTTTAGTGTTTATTTTTTTCAATAATAGTTCTGTGAGCCTTTTAAGGATAGGCATTCTAGAAAAACATGTTAGACACAAAACAAAATTTACAGTGGTTAATCAATCAGTAAAGGTTTATTAATGATCAATATTATCTAAATACAGCAGTCACAGTATAAAGGATTTTTCACTTTCAAAACCATATATGGTAGACATTTTAGAAAGCTACCTTCTTTAAATGTATATCCGATATTAACCAAGATGGTCAGGAAAATGCTTTGCATAAGGCAACTTAGTTTATTTTAACACACCTACAGGAATCCCCAACAAAAACCCCCAAACACTCAAGTTTTGAAAATCAAGGTACGGCAAAGATGTAGCTAACTCAAGCAAAGTGAGTCTTGCCGGCTCTCTACACCCGTCTCCTCCGCCCACCTTCCCGAAAGAACAGAATTTCTTCTTCCCTTCACTTGGTTTGACTTTAGGTCCCTGGTTAAAGAGTGAAAAAGTTCTAACAGTCATTTTGGAAAAAAAAAAAATGCATTGAAGAGCAGAAAAGGGGGCCGGCCCGGTGGCGCAGCGGTTAAGTTCCCTCACTCCGCTTCTCCGCAGCCCAGGGCTTGCCGGTTCAGATCCCAGGTGCAGACATGGCACTGCTTGGCAAAAGCCATGCTGTGGTAGGCGTCCCGCGTATAAAGTAGAGGAAGATGGGCATGGATGTTAGCTCAGGGCCAGTCTTCCTCAGCAAAAAGAGGAAGGTTGGCAGCAGTTAGCTCAGGGCTAATCTTCCTACAAAAAATAGAGTAGAAAATATACAGTAGTCATTTTGAAATGGATAATGCTTAGCATTTTATTGGGCTAGTGATTTGTTAAGCATTGTACAAAACTTCCATAATGTAAAATTTAATTATTTGATAAATTATTGAGAAAATCTGCTTTTTAGTAAGGAACTAAATTCAAATTTCTGTAGCCCACCATAATGGCTTTTGCGGAATTGATATGGTCTGTTAAACAGATAAAAACTGTTGTCAAAATGTGTACACAGAACAAAAACGTGTTTTCTGCAAATAGATTAGAGTGACTGCAACATGCTTTAGTAAAAAATTCAAAAAACATTTAATACCTAATAAATTGTGGCGGCTTTGAAGTTACAGTTAACCATCAAGTACAGAATATCTTTAAAAGAGCATATTTAAAAGAGCAATATTGACTTTCCAGAATGAATTGGAAAAGTTATTATAATTACTATTCAATAGGATGGGTTAGTTAAAAAAAATTAAGGTGGTTAAAGTTTTGCACGCTCCGCTTCAGCAGCCCAGGTTTGCGGGTTCAGATCCCAGGTATAGATCTACTCCACTCACCAGCCACGCTGTGGAGGTGTCTCACATACAAAAAAAAGAGGAGGACTGGCAGTGGGTGTTAGCTCAGGGCAAATCTTCCTCAGCAAAAAATAAATAAATCAATATGTAAGTAAAAATAAAATTGCACTCTGCAGTTGAGTGAAGTACAATAATATGTTGCTAAAAGCATTGAGATTTGAATTCCAAGTTCTCCAAATGTGATTTTGTTTCTTATTCTGCTGCTTAGTAGTCATGAAAACGTCTTATAAACTATCAATGTGCCAGAATCAGTTATCATTAAATATTGGTGGTCTGGGTAGGAATGTACCCAATAATCCAGGACTGTCAATAAATCACATTCCTGAAACCTCGTGACACTAAATAATCATGCAAATGTGCCAGTTAACTGAAATAATTCTTGCTTTTTAAAAAAATTATTCCTGGTACTATTCTGCATCTCTTCTCCCTTACTTTCCTTAATATTTATAGAATTGCTAGGCAAACATCAACAACAACTAAATAAACAAGCAAATCTTGCAATGGCTAAGAAACAAATCTATAACGACTTACATTCTTTGAACAAGAACACATTTTGTTGCATAGACGCTAAAAATGAAATTTATTGTATTCTGAATTTTCTTGGTATGGTACGTCTTTAACCTCTTAGCATTTCTAGGCTTGTAGTAAATATTCAACAGGTATTTTTAATTGATTAGTATTACTGAGCAAAAGTTTAGCTCTGGCCAGGCTGCATACCTGAGTACCCCGGAGAACGGAAGACTCGACAGGTGTGTTTATTGATGGAGAATGCACCTGCAATGCCAGAGTCTTCAAACACAGTACATATTGTGATACTCCCAGAAAAGAAAGCTCAGCAGCATTTTTTTTGGCTCTCTTACTTTTGCTGAGAAAGCACATATTCCACCAATTTATAGAGGACTTACTCTGCTCAGAAGTTCATATGCATTGTCAAAAGCCATTGCCTCTTAAAAAGCAGCTGCCTTATTTACTAAGGTTATCTAGAAGCAGCCCAAAGTTGAGGTTTACTTATAATAAGGTTGCAGCTAATGAAGCAATACTCAAAATTCAGAGTACCTCACACGGGCAGTTTCCATGATCAGAAGAATCTACTTATTTCTGAAACTAGGTCTTCTGTTGCTTTCAGAATAGCAAATATAGCTTCACATTGATGTTAAAAAATTAAGCACACAGAAGAAACTACATATTTGTCACTGCTTTTCGTCTCCGAACAATTTTAAAGCATATTTAGACATGATGACCACAGCTATTGCAACTTCTCTTCATTGGAGGTTTATCAAACATCACTATTTTATTATCCATATCTAATGCCAAGTGTTTCTTTTTAAGAAAAAAAATGAAAATTGAAGGTAGGGAAATATTCTAGTCAGCCAAAAGAATGTCATATGTGCAAGCACAGCCTTGCTCTGGATTTAAATCTTTCATGGAATATACGAGATGGAAATGATAACAGCAAAATGAGTCTTGCCTGACTGTCCCTTCCTCCCTCGTCACCAATACAAACGCTTTTGGCCAAAGCATTCTTTTCTGGCTGTGTAAGAGACTGGAGGTGAAAATGAAGCTTAGAGAGGGCTTCTGCAGACCCTTTGTCCCGGGATGGTAGAGTCCTGGCAACACTATGGAGGGTGGAGCTGCATCTAGGCCGATAAGAGCGATAATCCCCAAGGACAGATCTCGACTTCCATGAACACATACTCAGGTACAACATGTGTAAAACAGGGATAAAAGTAATACTTACCTAAATGATTTAATTATGCAAAGACTGTAGGATAGTGCCAGCCGTACCATGCAGCTGTAATTGTAAACTGTTCTAGAAGGAGAGTATTGCACAGGGGTTTCGGAGTCAAAATGTCTGAGATTGAAACCTTCGTCCGCCACTTCTAAATTGCGTGACCTTGAGCAAGTTTTACTTAAATTTTTCCAGTTTCCGCTTGCCTCTATATATTGGGGATAATCTTAACTACTACATAGAGTCATCATGAGAATTAAATGTGATAAACTTTAAAAAACCATAACACAGATATTGTCATATGGTTTATGATAACTACACGTTAACTGGTTTTGAACTACTACAGTTACAAAAAATCTTACAATGTTTGAGAGATATGAGATATAAAACTTGAGTGACTTACTATTAAATTTCCTAATTTATAAAGTAAGGATTGTCATTCACAGATCTCTTGCTAAAACTAAATGAGAACGCAAATTTGAAAGAACAGAGTAGACACTTCATACATAGTAGTGTGCAATAAATGCTGTCTAAAAAGATGAGTTATACATAGAAGCGTTCACTCTCTCATGTAACAAAAAAGCATAGTTCTTCTCTAGTTAGCACAATATTGTAATAAAAAGAATATAATTAAATGGGTTTCAATACATAGATCTATTAACTATTGTGTCTAGCGGTAATATTTAAAATATTTAACGATCAGCACTTCACCGAAACCCAGCAATCAGAACAGATAGACGCTGGCCAACATGCCATCCAGCGTACTGCACCACACCTGAATGCACCAGCTCTAGAACGTCCCACGTTACAGCCACTTGGAAGAAATTGGAAAATAAAGGAATCTGTAATGACACATCTTTTTTCTCAAAAATGTCTGGAGGAATATTTACTTTAAATTTCCCTAGGATGTATTTCTCCAAGCCCTTATGCTAGAACACCAGGCATTCATTTCACAGAGC